ATATATATATATAAAAAAGATGTATCTAAGCAGCAAGAATTCTTTTAAACAATTTTGTTGATCAATAAAAATCCCATTTCGTAGCCGAGTTGGTCTAACTCATGTCGGATCTAACGACGCTTTCTCCTGCCAAGAGAAATGCAGTTTCGGAGGCTACCCAAGATCATATATTTTTCTTTAATAAGATTTCCCTATTATTCAAGTTGGTAGACGAAAATAAAAATATACTGTTTGATAAATAAACAGAGCATCTACTCAGATATGGATATCCACTAAAAATAACGTTTAAGTAATAATATATATATATATATATATATATATATATATATGTGTGTGTGTTCTGTGCACGCGCGCTCAAGCTCGCACGTGTGTATCTGTGTGTGTGCGTGTGTATGTGTGTGTATGTGTATGGGTGTATTAATAAATACATATATACCTACGTTTGATGTGCGATTGGAGTTACCCAATTCATCAGGCACGAGATATCGCTTATTGTTTATTTAAAAAAAAAAAAAGAAAAAAAAAAGTAGATGCCCAAGACATGGACGCTGATTTATAGTTCAAAATTAAAATACCACAAAAATAATACTAAAGCAATATCAGGGTTTAAGTGCAGGAAAAGAGGTGTACGTATGTGTCAATAATAAAATGAAAAGAGAAAAAAAAAGGGGGGGCAATTGAAGTACGCTTAAAATTTAAAATTTGAACGCCGGTCGCCGTTTGTAAAATACGTTTGACTGATTAAAGGGGGGTGATCGGTGTATGACCCGAATTAAATATAGGCGGAAAAGTAAAATTTGAATTTAAATTTAGACGGAAAGTCGTTTATCCAGGATTACAATATTTTAAGATAAACAATTTTTAATGACATAAGCTCATTCTGTTTATTTAGTAGATTAGATTATTAATATTTTTTACGATGAATAATTTTTATAGATTACACCTGTCTCCACTTGCCTAGGAATGGATTGATTATAGAGACCAATTCCCAATTCACTGCGGGTGTGTAGATATATGTTTTGGAAGAACATCAAACAACGTGTTTAAAGTTATGGAAGCCTATTACGAAAATAAACGTTCAAGGAGAAATGCATTTCGCACACTTCGTGATTTTTTTTTTTTTTTCGTCAACGTAATCGATCAACCGACAGTGTAAATGGAAACTATGTAAAAGTAAGCAGAAAATTAAAATTTGAAATTAAATTTAGACGGAAAATGGGTTATCTAGGATTACAATATTTTAAGAGAAACAATTTTAAGCATCCACCTAGACATAAGTTTAATCCGTTTATTAATAGATAGGATTATTAATATGTTTTAGGATGACTAATTTTTCTTGTAAACATAGATCGCACCTGCCGCCCCCACCCAACCTGGGAATGGATTAATTTTAGCGACCAGTTCCCAATGCACTGTGGGTGTGTAGCTATCTGTTTTGGTACCCCAATAAAACTTAGAGAGGGCTGTGGTATTTGCGTATTTTTTGCTGTTAAGGGTCAATTTTGATGATAATTTTTTTCCAATTATTAGCAGTCGACCCGAAATAAAATTTAATTTGATCATTATGCTTGATGCTGGCCTTATAAATAACTCCTTTATACATACATTTGGCATTTAAAGGACAGATGTTCTCTTTTCGGCAGTTACATTTTTGATCATCATAGCTAGAGTTGTAATTATTTTTGCTTAAGAATTTATTAAGAGTTACACCATTATGTTGGGCTATACATTGGTCAAGGATTCTAGTGCAGATGTAACTAGGCTTAATATTGTACTTGTTGAAGTTTTTTGAGGAAAAGGTTATGGTTAAAGTGTTTGTGTACTAATTTAAGGAAGGTGCTACCAGTGTTGGTTCTGACGTTACTATTGAAAGGTGGGTTGAACCAAATTACGTTGTGTTTTCTATTCCTACGTTTATTACTGGTATTCTTGCTAACGTTTGGGACGTACTCTAGTTTTATATTGTGCTTATAAGCGATATCGCGTGCCGGATGAATTGGGTAACCAACGAAACTCAAGTAGCACATCAAACGTTGGTATATGTGTACTTATTAACACACCCACACACATACACACGCACACATACACACGCATGCACACACACACACACACATATATATATTACTTAAACGTTATTTTTAGTAGATAGCGATATTTATTAATATGTATTTCTAGCTCTGTCTAATCACTATTATGTCTACACATCTTGGCTAAATTTGGTAATTATTTATTTCCTTACCAGTATATCCACGCCAGCACACGAGTAAAAAGTCGCTAATATATAGTTATC